ATATTACGCATTTGATAGTTATTTTAACAAAAATACATAATCATCTATTTTCCAAAGTCAAAAAAATTTAATCATTCGAAAACTTCCTTAACACACTACTTTCGAGACACATTTCTGTGGGTTTTTTTTTTGTTCAAATCAATTTTTGAAAATATTCAATTTGAGGGATGAAAACTAATATGATATTCGGAATCAGACTAAAAAAAGAAACAAAACCTCTTGAAACTAATATCAAAATATTAATTTTAATATGCTGTTTTCGTTGATATATAATTCAGCAAAGTTGACCAAGAAAAATACGAGTGAACTGATTTGATCACTTATGTGTTTCATTACTAATTCTTTCGCAGTAGATTAAAAATATTTTGATCATTCAAGAAGATACAGGAAACAATAGAAAAACAAAAAAAAAATCTATTAATGTTATTGTTACCTATATAATAAACTTTCTCGTGCTCGTTCAAATTGTGAAGCTGATTCTGTATGTAATTGTTGTGAATCTTTAACAAGCTTATCAGTTTCATCTAAAATAGCTTGTTGACTTTTACTTAAACCTTCCATATTTGATAAATTTCCATTATTTTGATTATTTATTTTTGTTGAATAATCATATTGATGATTATTTGTTGATATAGAACCATGTGTTGTTGTTCGATAAGTTGAACGTATTGTTTCATTTTTTCTTTCTTTATGATTAGGAAAATAAGCTTGATGATCAGTTATTTTTAATGGAGTTGATGTTAAAAATGAAACATCAAGTAAATGTGGATGACTGGCTATTGTATCTTGTATAGGTGTTAGAGTTAAATTTTCCGCACTTGTACTTAAAAATGATTTTAATCGTTTATTATTATGATTAGTATTAGTATTTATTGAACGTGGTGTATGTGAAAATGTTGATATATGATTTGTTGAATTATTTTCAATTGAAGATTTTTTTAATTCTAATTCATCAATTTTAATATCTAATTGTTTTTTTGAATCTTCTAAACGTTCACGATAAACAGCTAAATGTTGTCGTGTTAATTCTGTCATATCTTCTTCATATTGATGTACTTTTAATTTAACTGTTTCATTATCAATTGTTGTTGAATCATATGAAAGTGAACGAAGAAGAGCGTCTAAAAAATGGAATCACAATATATAAAAAAAAAAAAAAGTTAAAATATGAATCTTAATTAAATATTAGAATATTTATGATATAATAAAAAAAAGATATATTTTAAATTCAAGACTTTAATAATAAATTGATGTGAAAAATACAAATCAATAAAAGAGAATCTCAATAATATAGTTATGAAATAAAGTTGAAGATTGATCAATTTTCAAACTGTAATATCTAGTTTGGAATAAATAAATGCGAAAACATCGAATTTAAATCCGAGTGTTATGTGTACTTCAAAAAGTGAACAGGGATATTCAGTTTGTTTTTTATCATCTGAGACATATCTAGTCTATTTGCTTTCTTCATGCAGTTTTTCTGCATTTTGAGACCTTTTCCAGGGGATGTTTTGTTAGAAAGCTACGATTTAGTTCAAAACTAATATCAAATTCGGAATTAGCGTTAAAAACTGAGTCGATTTATATATGTTGTGAATAATTCGGAGAAAAATTTTTTTTTTTTTGAAAAATCCCTGTACCCCCCCTCAGGGATGGTCTCCTCAATAATGACAGTTTTTTCGATAACTCAGCCATTTCTTGACGGCTCCTGCTCATCTTC